TATGTGTGTATATGTATATGTAAATATATTTGATTCTTTAAGGAAGATGAAATTACTGAACATCCATATGGCTTACATTTTGAGTATATTACTATATGCAAAGTTGGGTTAGCATCTCTTAATTACGGAATCCATTCTGACACTGGAATCTCTAAGGGAAAGGACCTTTTAGATCATTTGGGTCTGGTCCTTGGAAGCAAGATTAACGCTAAGCTCTTCACAGATGCATGCATCAGCCATCTGCAAGCCCCAGGCATAGTTAGGAGTGCCCCCTTCCTTGGGCAGGCATGTACTTACACGGGGGTCTTAAACCAGATGGCTGTGCCCATGTTAGAACTTCCCTCATCTCATATACTCCCCTTCACTCCCATAATCCATAAACGATCCTGGCAGCTCTGCAAAATCTTCCAACACAAGACTGGTAGAGTCCTCACCCAGGGTATCACTGCCAAGTCGAGATGCCCTGGCCGGGGCGGGAGGTGCAGCGGGGGCAGGGGCTGGAGGAGATGGGAGTGGGGGAGCTTTCCGAACCGCCACGGACAGAGGGTGAGGAGGGAGGGCTGGGTCCTTGCTTTCCTCAGCTTCCTTCTCCGCTTCGGGCTCTGAGGAGGAGGACGCAGGTCCTAGGACGTGGTAGAGGCTAGGGAGACGGATGTCAAAACGCAGGCCAAACTTGGCAAAGAGCTTGTCGTTGAGGGCATACAGCTTCTCTGAGATGTCGTAGCCCAGCAGGGCCGCGAAAAGGCGGGAGATGTAGCGCTCTTTGTCCAAGAGGTGGTAGAGGGGCTTCCGCGGCCAGGAAACGTAGGTGCAGTCCGTCTCAGCAGTCAGGGTAACCTGAGGGTAATGTTGCAAGAGGAACATTAGGCTACGGATTTTCTGGTGCTATTGACAAGTAGGCGATTAGTAAATCATTTTAGATAAAGATAATGTGTACTGAATCAATTTCCCCATGGTCTTAAAATTTATTAGGTGCCTACTATGTACCCGGCACTGTTCAAAGTGTTGGAGATACAAAGAAGCAAAAGATAGTACCTGCCCTCTAATAGGGGAGGCAACATGTAAACAAATCTATACAAAGCTTTCGTCTGACACTGCCATTGGGCTGGTGCAGGTCCTCATCACACCTGCACTATTTATTTCAAGAGCCTTCTGGTTAGTCTTCTTGGGGCAAACGCTCTCCCCACTCGGTCCATCCTCCACTCAGCTGTCAAAGTGATCTTCCTAAACTGCAGGTCTGACCATGCCACTCTCCTATCAATAAACTTGAGTGGCTCCTTATTACCTCCAGGATCAAATATAAAATTCTGTTTGTCTTTTAATGCTCTTGATAACCAATCCTTTCCTGCCTTTCCAGTCTTCTTATACCTTACTACCCTCAAAGTACTCAGCAATTCAGTGACTCTGGCCTCCTTGCTGCTCTTCAAACGTTATCACACCATTTCCTGACTCTAGTCATTTTTCCTTCTTGTCCATCATGCCTAGAATGGTCTTCCCTTTTCACCTATACCTCCTGCCTGGCTTTAAATGCCAGCAAAAATCCCACATCCTACAAGAAGCCTTTCCTTAATGCTAGTACCTTCCCTCTGTCGACTCCTCTCTGTTCCCTCTAAGTAATACTGTGTATATCTTATTTGTACAAAGTTATTTGCATGTTATCTCCCCAATTAGACTACATTTTGACTTTCTTTGTATTTCTAGCAATTACCATAGGGCCTGGCATAGAGCAGGCAATAAATTCTTGGTAAAGGGGAGAAAGAATTAGCATTTATATAGTGCCTACTATGTGCCAGACTTGATTTGTGTTGTCAAGTCACATGTGATATGGTGAAGGCTCAAAGCTTTTAGTCCAATAATATACGGGAGATACATGTTTCACTAGGCAACTAGGTGACTCAGTGGATAGAGTGCTGAGCCTGTAGTCAAGAAGACTCATCTTCTTGAGTTCAAACCTGACCTCAGACACTTACTAGTTGTGTGACTCTGGGCAAGCTACTTAACCCTATTTGCCTCAGTTTCCTCATTTGTAAAATGAGAAGGAAATGGCAAACCACTCTAGTATCTTTGCCAAGAAAACCCCAAATGGGGTCAGGAAGGGTTGGACATGACTGAAATGACTGAACAACAAAAACACATTTCAAACCTTGTCTAGGGGCACAGCATTCTTTGTCCTGGGAGCTGCCCTTATTGCTGGCTAGTCTCTTTGCAAATATGTGTCATCATGGGAAACAGGCATTTTATCTAAGGGTATAAGTTTAGGCCAGTCTTCCAAAGACTTAAAGATATTTTTTTTAACTTTTTAAATATCTTTTTTTAAATTAATATTTTATTTTTCCCTAATTACATGTAAAACAATTTTAATAATCATTTTTTTAAAATTTTGAGTTCTAAATTCTCTACTTCCTTCCCTTCCCTCCCCCCATTATTATGAAGGCAAGTAATTTGATATAGATTATACATGTACAGTCAAATAAAACATATTTCCATTTTAAAAACTTGAACATCTTGCATATAGCAGATTAATGTACATTAATAATAGCTCATATGTTACAGTACTTCATACTTTATAGAAGACTTTCTTAAGAACAATAGCCCTAAGGCAAGTAGCATAAGAATTATTTTTATTTTATAGATCAACCACTCAATCAACAAACATTTATGCCAGGCACTGCTCTAGGTGTTGGGGTCACAAAGAAAAAAGCAAAATAGTCCTTGACTCCAAAGAGTTTGCATTCTGGGGAGATAAAACAAACATATATGAATACATACATACATATATATATATATACACACACACACATGTATAATAGAGTAATAGTAATAGGTAATTTGAGGGAAAAAGGCACTAGCAGCTGGGTAGGGGGCACCAGCTCAGGAAAGGCTTCATGTAGGAGATAAGTTAAGCTGCATTTTAAAAATAAATTTGAGATTCTAAGAGGCAGAGGTAAGAAGTGAGTGTATTCTGAGCAGAGGAAAGCAAGGAAAAGGGAGGTGGAGTATTGTACATGAAGAAGAGTAAAAAGGCTATTTTGGCCATACTGAAGATGATATGAATGGGAGCATTTTGTAGAAGAGGTTTGGAGTGGTAGGTTAGAACCAAGTCGTGAAGGAATTCAAATGCCCAACAGAGGAGGTTATTTTGGATCCTAGAGGTAACAGGACACCATTGGGATTTGTTGCGTAGGAGAGTGATACGATCAGACCTGGGCTTTAGGAAAATCATTTTGGCAGCTCTGTGGAGGATGGATTGTAATGGGGAGAAGACCAATTGGGAGACTATTGGAATAATTGAAGTGAGAGGTGACGAGGGTCTGAACTTGGGTGGTGGCTAAAAGAAGGGAGAGGAGACATGAAATAGAAGTTGTCAAGGTGGAAACAACAAAATCTGGCAACGGATTGGGAATGTGGAAGGAGACCAGGGTGATTCTGAGGTTGTGAATCTGCAGACTGGAAGGGTGGTGGAATATTTCAACAGCAACAGGGAAGTTTGGCAACTCTGAGGTTCCATCTTACACCCATTAGATTTTCAAAGTTGACCAAAAAAAAAAAGAAAAAGAAAAACAGAGGAGCTCTGAAAAAATAAATGTATTAATGTTTGGTTGATGGAGCTGGGAATTGTTCAGATCATTCTAGAAAGCCATTTGGGACTATACCCCTAAAGTCACTAAACTGTCTATGGCTTTTGACCCAATAATACTACTATTAGGCCTATATGCCAAAGAGATCAAAGAATGAAAACAGCATCAATATGGTGAGCCCTCAAGAAGTGGGGAGGAGAGAAAGAGGGAAACACCAAGTTGTATAAGGAGAGCAAAGCCACCCAGATCAGATATGGACCGTTTCAGACCAGTATCGGAATCAGGCCTATGGGTAGCCACTGTACTTTTGGCCTGGGTAAGATGAGAAACGCAATTTCTCTTTTTTTTTATTTTAAAAATAAAAAAAAAAGTTTATTGCACAAACATCTTGGATCCATTTATTAAGGAGACTCAATCTCAAAAAAAAATTATTGGACCAAGCCCCTTTAATTGAGTTATACAACTGGAAAACATTTTACAAGGGGCTGAGAAGTGAGGGACAGGAGAGGAAGGAGAGGCAATGAGAAGAAGCAATGTTTTCTAGGAATTTGCTTGTGAAAAGGAGAGATAAGACAATAATCTGATAGACAAGGAAATGGTAGCTAATAGAGATTAAGTGTCTTGACCAGGGTCACACAGCTAGTACCAGAGAGCTAGGAGTCGAACCTAGATCTTCTGATTCTAAGACCAGTGTGCTTTCCACTATACCATACTGCTTTTCAGCTTATAAAATAATTTCCTCAAGCTATCTCCATTTGTCACCTCTACTTCTCCTTTCACTCCTTTTTTAACCCTGTAAGGTCAGTAGCACAGGTACTATCATCCTCATTTTGCAGGTAAGAAAATTGAGTCTCAGAGAGGGTAAACCCACAATCCCGGCCGAGTAAGGGATTGATCTGGCACTCAAACTTAGCTCTTCTTATTCCAAGTCTTATTCCAAACTTTCCTCTGTATATTCTACTTCTTAAACTCACATTGTAAATATTTACATTTAATAAATGTTTGCTGAATGAGTGAGCTTTCAGTCTACTGGGATCACATCAACTTTATGATGGTCAGTTTTGCTCAAAAGCCCAGCCTGCTCCTACATGCTAGGCACCTAGGGACTATCTGGGAAGAAGGTGGTTCCATGTCTCTCAGTATCTCTGAGGTCCACAGTGCTCCTCAGTCTCTTCAGACAACCAACCTTCTGCCACCATCACTGGGATAGATTAGGGGATAGCAAAAGGCTGCTCCAGCATCAGTAGTCATAGAAGCTAGGTGGCACAGTAAATTGAGCACTAGATCATTAAGGAAGACCTGAGTTCAAATCTTGCCTCTGACACTTACTAGCTCTGTGACTCTGAGCAAATCACTTTACCTTACAAAGCCCCACCTATAAATGGAGATAATAATAACAACTACTTCCCAGGGTTGTTGTGAACACCAAATGAGATAGCAGTTTCTCACAGTGCTATCCGAGAGGACAAGGGTCAAGTCTTAATTATCTTTGTATCAATCAACAAGTATATATTAAGCACCTACTTTGTGCCAGGCACCACATCAGATTCAGGGGATACAAATATAAAAATGAAACCGCTCTGGCCTTCAAGGAACTTACATTCTACTGGGGAGAAAATACATACAGCTATATGTTCTATACAAAATAAATACAAGGTAATGGTGGGGGAGGGCTAATAGCTGGAGAAGAGAGGTGGGATCAAGAAAAGCTTCCTGTAGAAGACAACATTTACGATTTACAAAGTGATTTACAAATATCTCATCTGATCCTCACAACAACCCTGGGAGGTAGGTGCTGTTATTATCCTCATTTTATAAGATGAGGAAACTGAGGCACAGAGAGGCTAAGTAAGGTTTGTTACCGGGCTTCAAGTCTAATGCTCTTTCCACTGCACCACCTAGCTTTCATCATATTTGTCTGTCCATCTCATCTCTATCTCAATGTATGACAAATGCTTTTTCATTCATTCATTCATTCATAGAACCAATCAACCAATCTAGAGATTAGATTAGGTTATTCTGTAGGAACCATCTCAATGGGTCTCGAACTTACCTGGAATATCCCTTCCTCAGATGGTTGCAATGATTCCCACTCTGGGGAGTCCATGAACTGGTAGGGGAAGATATAATGCAGAAACTGTCCGTCCTGACTCACACGAATCCTGCAGAATGGAGAGAACATAAGGATTAAGAAATTCAGCTTCTGGTCCCAGTTCTCAGCTAACTAATTGTACAACTTTGGGCAAGTCACTTAAACCTCAGTGTTGTCATCTGTAAAAACTGCAAAAGAAAGGGAAAACAGATAAGTTGACATTTTTTAGTGTTTTAAAGTTTGCGAAGTATTCTGCATACTTATTTCATTTGAGACTTACAGCAAACCTGGGAGGAAGCACTACATATATATTATTGTCCTTACCTTACAATTAGGAAGCTGAACTTAAGAAAGGTGAGAGTACTTGCCACGGTCACACAGAGTAAGTGTTAGAGGCAGGATCCAAATCCAGCATCCTATCTACTTGTTCTTCAGTTGTGTCTAACTCTTCGTGAACCTGTGGACCATACTGTCCATGAGATTTTCTTGGCAAAGATACTGAAGTGATTTGCCATTTCCTTCTCTAGTAGATCAAGGCAAACGGAGGTCAAGTGACTTGTCCAAGGTCACACAGCTAGTAAGGTTGGGTTTGAACTTAGATCTTCCTGACTCCAGGCCCAGCACTCTATCCACTGAGCCATGCTGTATCTACTCTATCTACTACATAAGATCTTTTCCATCTTTGATATTCTAGGGTTACCCACCCCTGTGTTAAATAGCGACCTTCCAGGGGAGCTAATCTAGTCTTGACCCTATGGTTGAACAGTTCAGCATCATACTGTCCTTTATGGTCCCTTATCCTCTCATTGCTCGGGCCTTGCCAAGCCTTGGCGTTGGATGACTCCCAACATCTGCCTCCTCTCCTTACTCTGACATGCACCTGGAGGAAGTCACCCAACTACGCTCGCTGGGTCCACCACAAAATTATGCATAATCCACCTTTTGGAAGTCTGCCAAAAGGTTTTGAAACAGAGCAATGGGAGATAAAAACATCAGGGCTGCCTGCTGTCTGCTTTCCAGAATTTCCAAGAGGATTTCATACTTTACCTGAGGGGAAATTACCCAGAATGCCTTTGACTCTAACCTTGGGAGAAAGTGTATGTAGATCAAAGAGGTGGAAACCAAACCAAGAAAATGAAACACACACAGACAGAGCAAAAAAAAAAAACAAAACAAAAATAAGGGAGAAAACAGATGATATTTTAAGCATATAGGAGGCTGGGAGCAACTTATGGGAGTCCTGAGCTAGAGCACTGAGGACATTGAAATTAAGAACCACGGCTGGAGTGACTCTGTGCTAATGTTCCCATCTGACTTGGAGACAGTGACCAAAGTCCTTCTCCCTATCCTCCAGGCCCTCCCCTCCCCCACCGTGTCTTGTACACTGTGGCTACCAGCTTTAGGACTACTATTTCTACAAAAGGTTTTGCCGTCAGTGTTTTTGCACGTGTATGATGATGTGTTAAAATCCAGATGGTCACTCAAATTTGCACCAATTCTGCTTGTTTGAATGCTAGGGGTGAAATCAGGAATGAAGAAAGGATGCCTGAAAGGAAAGCAAATTTAAAGTATTGAGGTTTTAGAAATCTAATATGGATTTTTTTTCAGTGCAAACTGGCTAGGGGTTTGAGTAATACATTTAATTGTAAATACAGCACAATAAAGTGAGAAAGAAAATACTTGGGGTCATCCTCCTTCTGAGACATGAGCCAGTAAGCAAGTGCCCCAGGATACTAAAGGAGCAGGCAATCTTTTATTTTCAAACCAGTGGTGGGCATCAGTGCTAAGGTTTTAAAAGAAAGATCTGCTCTAGGGCAGGAGTAAGTTGAGAGACACCCATTCCTCCATGAAAGTTGGAGGCAGTTTCTCCCTCCCCCCCACCCAAGGCTGACATTTCAGCCTGACATTCACCAGAACTAATAGAGGCTTGGATATGTTAACCTAATCTCAATTGTTGCTGTTTGGTTGTTTCAAACTCATCATGACTCCATTGGCATTTTCTTGGCAGTGGTTTTCCATTTCCTTCTCCAGCTCATTTTACAGATGGGGAAACTGAGGCAAACAAGGTTAAGTGACTTGCCCAGGGTCACACAGCTAGGAAATGTCTGAGGCCAGATTTGAGCTCCAGGCCTGATATACTGCATCACCTAACTGTAGGCCAGTCTCAACCAGGTCCTCACTAAAGCAAGGCAATCCTTTTCTCTTCCCCATAGAGGCTGTTCAAAATGTTCTCTTTTCTCTTCAAGCTTCCAGTAGCACTCCCTTCTCTCAACCTCTCACCTGAGGAACTAGCCTCATACTTAACTGAGAAAATAAAAGCCATTCTCGATGTGCTACTTTTTCTCCTCTTCTCTATATTTAAAAACTCTTTGACATCATCCTTCATCTCTCCTCCATTACTCTACTCTCTGATAAAGAAATGGGCCTTCTCTTCTTTTACCCTTGAACACTTATCTCTTATCTCCTCTGGCAGTTTGCCCCCACAAATAATCCCCTGTCTCTAACACTCCTTCTCTCTTGGTTTAGTGCCTCATCACCTATAGCCCATAAACAGGACCAGGCCTCCCCCATCTTTTATAAAGCAACACCAATGGGGCAGCTAGGTGGTGCAGTGCATAGAGCACCAGCTCTGGTGTCAGGAGGACCTGAGTTCAAAGCCAGCCTCAGACATTTACTAGCTGTGTGACCTTAGATGAGTTATTTAACCCCAATTGCCTCCCAAAAGACCCCCTAAAACAACAACAAGAAGCAAACATTATTTAGCATAGCTAAGGTTCCCACAGTTGATCAACATCACAATATTACTGTTATTGTGTACAATGATCTCATGGTTCTACTCACTTTACTCTGCATCAATTCATATAGGTCTTCCCAGGTTTTTCTGAAATCATCTCCCTCATTACTTCTTATAGCACAATAGTGTTCCATCATAATCATATTATACCACAACTTGTTCAGTCATTCCCCAACTGATGGGCATCACCTCAATTTCCAATTCTTTGCCACCACAAAAAGAGCTGCTTTAAATATCTTTGTACATATAGGAACTTTTCCTTTTTCTTTGCTTTCTTTGGGATACAGACCTAATGGTGGTATTGCTGGGTCAAAGGATATGCACAGTTTATAGCTACAAATTGTTCTCCGGAATGGTTGTACTGATTCACAGTTCTACCAAAAACGCATTAGTGTCTCTACTTTCTCAACTCCCTTCAGCATTTGCCATTTTCCTTTTCTGTCATTTTAGCCAATCTGATAGGTATCAGGTGGTACCTCAGAGTTGTTTTAATTTGCATTTCTCTAATCAATAGTGATTTTTTCATATAACTAGATAGCTTTGATTTCTTCTTCTGAAGACTAACTGTTAATATCCTTTGACCATTTATCAATTGGGGAATGGCTCTTATTCACAGCAGGCACTGAACAGAGGCTTATTGACTAATTACCTGACCACCCTCCTTCAGTTTATTTTGCTAGATTAACGTCCATGTCCTGTCATGAGCTATGGATGTACCTCCAAGGTTCTGTCTCAGGTTTTTCTTTTCTCTCTATTCTCTGTCCCTGTCTCTCTATGACTTCATCAGCTATCAGGGATTCAATTCCCATCTCTAGGCAGATTTCTCAGATGTATGTATTCAAAGCTAGTCTCTCTCCTGAGCTCCAGCCCCACATCATCAACTGTTTATCAGACATTTAGAACTGAATGGACCGCAGGTGCCTAAAATTCAACATGTCCAAAATAGAAGTCATTTTCTTTCCTCTCAAACCTAACATTTTTTTCTAACTTAGCTGTTCCTATCAAGGGTATTACCGTCATCTGAATCTTGCAGATCTACAATCTCAGAGTCACGTTTGACTTTTCACTCCTGTCCATCTCTCCACACACTCAATCAGGCGACGAATCTTGTCAAGACTACGTCTACAGTGTCTGCTGCCTCCGTCCCCTTTTTTCTTCTCACATGGCCAGCACTCTAGTTCAAGTACTCAGCACCTCTCCCCTGAATTATCACAAGATCTTCCTATTCAGACTCTCTGCCTGAAGTATCTCCCCTCTCCAATCCATCCTCCACACAGCTGCCAAAGTGGTATTCCTAAAGCAAAGATGTGAGACCATGTCACAATCCTGCTTAGTCAATTCCACTGGCTGCCTCTTGCCTCTGGGATCAAATACAAACTCCTCCATTTGGCTTTTAAAGCCCTTCACGACCTGGCTCCAATCTACCTTTCCGGTTTTATTAGATGTTACTCCCCTTCCTATACTCTTTAGTTGAGGCAAACTGGCCTTCTTACTATAGATGACACATTTCCCATCTCCATGTCAGTGCACAGGCTGTGTGTCCCCATGCCTGAAATGCACTCACTCTTCACCTTTACCTCTTAGAATGCTTAGTCTCTTTCAAAGTTCAGTTCAATCATCACCCCCTCCATGAAGCCTTTCCTGACTCACCAGGCTCCTAGTGCCTCCCCACAGAAAATTACCTTCATTTCTACTTCATTCTTTCAACAAATGAATTAAGGTTACACAGCCCATGCTCAATATTCTACTTGGTCCTAGCCACATAAACATTTACAGAAAGGGACACAATGAATAGGTTTATTTTCAAGCCTGTATTGCAAAATCTGAGCAGGTGGTCATCAGTGGGAGGGAGAGTAGGTCTAAATTTGTCATTTGTGTTGACTCAGAATATTGGTAGTTACCAAAAACAAAACAAAATAAATAAATGCAACCCCTCTCCACAAGTCCCCTGCTTAAAGACTGGAAAGTAAAAACATAAGAAGGTTTTATAAAATATGTGCATCCTAAAATAGTTGAGTTTGGGTTTCAGAGTGTGGGCATGTGGCCCCTTCACGTAGGAGGGAGAAGATCCAGGAACACCTAGAATCAACATGCTTTCTAACACCTATCTTCGTGCAGTCATATCTCATATTATCTCCTACCCTCTATCTGGGAATACAGAGTACGTCAGTCAATCAACAAGCATTAATTAAATGCTTACTGTTTACCAGAGGGCAGCTAGTTGGTAAAGTGCATAAAGTACCTGACCTGGAGTCAGGAAGACTCATAATCCTGAA